GCACTCGGATCTGAAAAAGAGGCAGGTCTAGATCTAGATATTCTAGATCAATCTAGATTTCCAGATCTAAATAGAAAGGACATTTTAAAATCCCTGATGTTTTACTTCTAGGTTTCTATTGTGCGAAAATCCGCCTGCTTTACACCTAATAAATAACTGAACTGAAGAAAGTCCGATGATCCCACAATTAAGTTTAAAAAGTGAATTCCACAAAGCTGTTACTTACAGCTATGCTGGGATAGCGATGTTTATGTTTGATTTTGGAAGGACTTTCGTAACGAGCGACCACCCCAACAAACACAATAAAGTTTTTTATAAAGACCTTACCCTTACCCTGACCCTATCCTTAACCCTAACCCTTACTTCCTACTACTGCCCTAACTTTACACCTACCCAAACCCTAAACCTAACCCTCTTTTCTAGTTTTGATTCATATAGTGGTTGCTCGTTATGGAAATTCTCCTTTAATTTTGGAGGAGGTTATCAAATTGTGCTGAAATGGTAACTTTTATTTTCGCCTACTTTCTGTCAACGTTTCACTGTGGTATTGGGGGGCCAAGAAGGGCTTTCCACCCGTCTCTTATTCTCAAACTTATTTGAACGATCTTCTCTTCCTCCAACCAGCTGTGCCCCATCTGTCTGAGTTACTCCACCAGATCTCGTTCACAGATGGATCTCCTCCTTCCTGTCTTGGGCTCTTCCTCCTCCCTTGAGGACCCCATCTTAGGCTTTGCCCAGTCAAGCCTTCTTGTTACTACAATACATTATGGGCTGGTTTCCTAAGAGTGTGCCTGATAGTAATACACCGCCATCTTCTTTTCTTGAATTTTGCTCCTCCTTACTTCATACTTCATGAAGGAAAATCATGGCCGGCCCTAACACCATATATTATATATCTGCATCAAATGAATCAAATGGGTAATGGTCTCTAGGTATTGATTTAGCTTTATGTGTAGCAGCTTAGCTGGTGTAATGTCCAAGCTCATCCCTAAAAACAAATCAGTGTCCCTGTACTACTTTCAAAACAAGCCCCAACTCATTGTTTTAAGTATTGTCATCGCAAGAAAACATTTTCAGCACTTTTGGTCTTAACACTTTTCACCCACGCGCAACACTTATCCCCTCGAACCAAGATACAGGTGCGGTACACGCTATTGTATCACACCAGCGCCGATCGCCCTTCCGTGGGGGCAAAGTGTTAAACTTGAAATGCCAAAATGGTGAGTTGTTGGTAAACATTTAACAATTTGTCTCTTTTAAAAACAATTCTGTCATACTTAATGAGAATGGTATTGATATAAAATAGTATTGCCTCTCTGTTTTGTTTTCAGGTTGTGAGCCCCCTGTGAGACTGCCACAGACGCAATGAGCAAATCCAAAGAGGCGGTAGCGAGCCAGGCTGTCTTTTCCTATCTTTTAAAGCAAAACAGACCCTACAGTGCCCAAGATTTATTTCAAAATATGGGAAAAGACCTGGGAAAAACTGCTGTAGTTAAAGCTTTAGAGAGTTTAACCGCGGAGGGTAAGATCAAAGAGAAAGTCTATGGAAAGCAAAAAGTCTACGTCATAGATCAGACTCAGTTTCCAGATGTTGACGAGTCTGAAATAAAAAGTATGGACGATAAAATCTCACAGCTCAACGGAAAATTTCAGCTGAGATCAGAGGAAGTTCGAAAGTTAGAAAGTGAACTCCGTGCCTTTAATGGCATGCTGTCTACTGAGTCGGCTCGTGCTGAGCTGAGCAAACTTTATTCTGAACTCGAGCAACTCAAAGTTAAACTGAACAAGTTCAAGGAAGGGAGAGTTCTGATTTCAAAGGAAGAAAAAGATCGTGTCTACCAAAACAGGGAGAAATATGTCAAGGAGTGGCGGAAAAGGAAGCGGGTCACTTCTGACATCTTGAACGCTATTCTCGAAGGGTATCCCAAAACGAAGAAGCAGTTGTACGATGACATTGGGATTGAGACTGACGAGGACTATAATGTGAAAGTGCCTGATGTGTGAAGAGAGACAAAAAAGTATTTACCTTTCCAGACTTTGCAGTTGTGTGAGGTTCACTTTTGCTGAAAGTAGAAAAATTATTTCTTTTTGCAGCAGGAGGAATGTTGTAAACTGGGTGGAAAAATGGCTCAAGATTGTTGTTAATTCAAGAGTTGTACTTGATGCTCATAAGTGAAAGACTGTCTGAGAAGGCCTTCTGAATGCATTGCTCTCGCGACTTTCTTGCTCTGCCTGGATATGTGACTGCCATATATTTTGCATTCCCATTATTGACAGAAATTTAGTTAATTAATTAGGGGAGTAGGTTTCATCTGCAGAGGGTTACAGTATCCCAGCAGAGAGAGACTAAGGTAGGCTACATATATTTGAAATGAATGGACTATCCTATGCGGAGAATTGAACTGATATATATATATCTTTTGTGTGCAAAGGCAAAGAGTCTACCACCGTGTACAACCATCATACCACAGAGGTCCATATCCTGTTTGTTTTCCACGCGGATGCTGTTTATTTTGGTCCTGTGGTGCATGCATTGTGCCCTTTGATCTGATGCTGTGATGCAAAACTATAGTTGCAGGTTTTGTTCAGTTACATATTTTTATAGTCACGCATGCAGACACCAAGTTACTTCATTGCCTCTACCCTGATCTAGGGTGAGAACGCGATGATGATGATGGTGATGATGATTTATTTAGTATCGGTATTATAAATTTTGAAATTCTACTGTCTTCCACCAATTTTTTGCCTTTTTTATCATTAAGCTGTCAACAATCATGAAATGGGTGAAACGTCCAACTTCTATTATAAATATAAGAACATCGTAAAACAATGATGATGGTGATGCATAGGCCTACAATTGACATACTCATAGTGAAATTCACACATGAGTGAACAGATTTTCAGTTTCAATTTTTCTCATATTTTCAATATATGAGAGGGAGAGAGAGAGGAAGAGAGAGAGAGAGAGAGAGAGAGGGGAAGAGAGAGAGAGGGGAAGAGAGAGAGAGAGAGAGAGAGAGAGAGAGAGAGAGAGGGAGGGAGGGAGGGAGAGAGGGAGGGAGAGAGATATGGAGAGAGAGAGAGACTTGGGTAAAGTTTCCAAGAATGTACCCACTACCTGGCTAACCCAGCATTCATCTCATAATTTCGTATGGCTTTTTTAGTTTGAGGGCTAACCATAAGACAATTAGATCTTCACAAGGAACCCGCCTTGCCCGCTATCCTCATTATGCTTCTCCCCCCCCCCCCTTCCCTGTTATTAACATGGAGTGGTGGACACCTGGATTTTAGTTGTGTAGAATTAGTGGAGTCTAATTATTTAATTTTGTTTATCCTGTCTCTTTTACTAAACTTTACTTCAGTTTGTCCTGTGTATTCTTTGTGGTAAAAAGTTGGCAGTTCAACAGTCTTTTGAGTCGGAAAATGGAATGCATTTTTTAATGTACACATTTATTATTACTGCATTGTATCTGTTATAACTATTTACTTTATATAATTATGACACAAAACGTTGTACAGAGGAAACCTTATATAACAGGGATGGTGGGAGTAGAGAAAAAATCGTGTTATATCCGATCCCTGTTAAATCAGAAATGCAAGGAAAGTAAGCATTTGTGGACTAATCCTGCTGTACTTATTCATGGGTAGTTGCCCTTGCCACAAGTACCCACGAACAGGGGTTTTGGCACCAACGTTCCCCTTGCTTCTTTAAACCACATCAGAAGAGCTTGGTCCACAGCATCAGATCATGTAGTCTCATCTTCTTTCGATCCAGAGCAAACTTTCCATTGGAGTATGCTGCCACTATCTTCTCTCTATCCTTGATATTGGTGTCAATCGACCGTTGTGGAATGTCGAACTGACGACAAATCTCTGCCAGTGGAGCTTGCTTTTTGTCAACAGCCTGGATTATTTCGTTTATTTTGTCAATTGAAAGCCATTTTCTCTTGCGCTTGACATCGTTGGTGGCCATAGTGAAAGAAGTAAGCTTAGATCTAGGCCGACCGGTCGTCCACAGAGTGCGTTAAGCTTATATCTAATCATGTACTGTTAGTGAACCCTCACACTACTCACAGTGTGGTGTGGTGCATGCGTGTGTGCTTTGAACTGCGCTCGATCAGATTTGGCCATGCGGCAGGCCTGTGCATGACACATTACGCATGCATGTTCCTAGGTTTCGGGCTAGATCGAGGTCTGCAGCACATCGCAGCCCTCTCCTGCTTCACACGCTGCGTGTGCTTGCAGTGGCATTGCTTACGTGGGCTTACTCCATCACTGTGTTATTCTC